CAAAACTTTAAATATTATGCATGCCTTCAAAAATGGCATAAAAGACAAACCATGCTTGGTCCATTTTCCTGGAAACGTCCTCCCAATCTGCCATAGTCCACTATTGTCCATTCTGGACTTTTCACGAAAAATCCACACACACACACAAATCGATACAAATCCCATCCATTATTCCCCTATTTCATTCTCTTCGATTCGCACGACAGAAAGAGGAAGGGTTTCGCCCCTTCTCTCTTCTTTCCAATCCCATCTATATACAATCATTTTGAATTAACTATATCTAGAGAGAGAAAAGGGTTCGTCTTGTAAATGGATTTGACTTCTCAAGATTCATTGCGAGTACCTAAGGAAGCTGTTGAAGTCAATGAGAAGGGTGTTCTAATGGAGCAAAAGGAGGGGTTTCCTGCTTATGTTTCAATGGTTGATCCGTTCCTAGTCGAGGCTCTTCAAAACCCCCGTCATCGATTAACTAGTTAGTTCTTTTTCCCCTTTTTGTATTTCGTGCTTCTGATTTTAGTTGTTTCATCTTGTTTAATTTTGTTCCCGTATAATGGTTAAATACATTTGTTTTGTATAGATAATTGGATACACGATTTTAGATTAGGGTTAGGATTTGAGATTTTTGGAATATTAAATTGGTTGCGTTAGATCTGGTGAGGTTTCATTATGGGTCTTTTGGTTTTAATTTTGCATAAAAGATGGGTGTTTGGATGTAGGAAATTGTGGGTGATATATAGATGTAAATCTTGAGAAAGTTGAATTTGGCACAACTGAGCTAATTGATTTTCTGAACAGCTACGACCAGCAATACATAACTGTGGAACTGAATTACCATCTCACGAGGTAATTTCACCTGAGGTAGTGAAATTTATCAGTCATTAATCTATAGTTTAATGGTTGGACCAACTGAATTATTCTTCTGGATGCGTAACATAAGTTGGGTATGGTTAGATAATATAGGCTGTTATTATTATTGCTCCCGTCATTGAACTTTTTCTTATTAATTTTTGCTTCGATTGTTTGGTTAAAGATGCTCTGCCTGACACGTTGATGACAAGGTATAAGAGCGAGTTGTTATCATGTTAAATAATAGGAGGCAGAATAGTGACATTTTAATAAATACTCTCGGTTGTATGAAGATATAGGGGCACTTGTCAAAACACACACAGATCATATATGTGTGAAATGATCTAATGAGCACCGATGCTTATCTTATACTAAGCATTGGTGATGTGTCATATTAATTCATCGTTGGATAACAAATTTAATTTAAATATTGGAACTCGCAAAATCTTTATCTACCAATGAATTAACATTACACATCATCAGTGCTTAGGATAAAATGAGCACCGGTGCTCATTAGATCATTTTTCGTGTATATATATATATATATATTATATATGGCTGGTTGGACCTTAGTTTGCTGAATTTGTATTATGATATTTGGTTTATTTTATCGTGCCTGGTGATTTACTGTATTTTTTATTATTTATTATTGTTATCGTTACTTTTGTTGAAGATAACTAGTAATTGAGCTCTTCTTATCTATTATTTTTGCATCAGTTCTGCGAATGGAACTAGATGTACAAAAGTTCTTGCAGAGTTCTGGCATACATCAGTTTGAGTTTCCACACTTCCCTACGTCATACCTTCGTCTTGCTGCACATCGTGTTGCTCAACACTATGGTCTGCAGACTATGGTTCAGGACAATCCTGTAGATGGCCAAGGAACCCGGATTTTGGTTTTAAAGAAGCCAGAAAGTAAGTTCCCTGCTATCCTTTTGTCAGATGTACCAGCTGGACAGTCTGAAACTGACAAACTGGGTCAAATCAAGATTGTCTTAAAACCGAGGTCTTCTAAAGCTTCCTCCAATGGTGTCAATGGACTGGGGCTTAAACGAAGTCCTGTGAGAACAGTGGAAGAGAGAAAGGAGGAATATGACAGAGCTCGAGCTCGTATATTCAGCAGTCCAAGTAGTTCTGAATCAGAAGATACAACAGGTTGGGTTGCTTCTGATAGGAAGAATTTAAATATGGGTGGTAATGAAGTTTCAACGAACTTGGTAGTTGATGGTGAGAAAAATCTGAGCAGCAGGGAGATTGGGGTTTCTTCTAAAGTAGCCATTTTTAGGGACAGGGAGAAGGATCGCACTGACCCTGATTATGATAGAAGTTATGAAAGGTATGTGTTGAAGAAAATGGTACAAGTTTGTGGATAGCTATGCATTTTTTAGGTTCTTATTTCTAAATAAATATAGTGGAGCAGTGTTAATTGCGTGAAGGATTTAATTTTTTTTTCCTCCTTTTTTCCTCCTTGTTGCATGCACATCTAGATTTCTACATATACCCATTGATGGAAGATTCCATGTTTAAAATGCTGTTTCTTCTCGTGATACTTTTGGTCATGATACGGCTGCCATATACTTTTTTTATTCTTTTTATTTGTTGGTAATGAAACTTACACAATGATTATGGAAGTGTTTTTTAATGACGATTTGACCTTTATTTTAAATTATCCTATTAAAGAATGTATTGTTCTTTCACAAGCCATTCTGTTGCCTTACCCAACATGCTCATAGAAGTTGATTGAAAGCTTCCCATCCCAAAGAATTCATCATCCTAACCTTTCAATACTGATCCCTGGAGGATGTACGTGTTCTTGAATTAGTTGAAGAGATATCTACTGCGTGTTACTATTGGTGCATTTGCACAAACCAATTATTAATCTTGGATTATCTTTCATTCCATAGCCCTCGTTTGGTATACCTGTCTAGGCCATGTAAAAAATTTAGTCTTTATAACTGATATTATTCAATAGATGTGGTATTATAGTGGATGAAGGTTAATAATCCATTGGTTTTTCACTCAAAAGAATATCATTTACTATATCTTCCTTATCCGATCTAAATCTACCTTCAATCACTGTAGTAGGTTATACAGCTGATAGTGCAAATGACTATCTTTTGGATGAAAAATTAAAGAACACCATCCACCTTAATCCATCATAATACAATCTACCTATTAATATCAATTATAATTTTGTAAGAAATTACTTATATTGCCTAATCTG